CCATATGATGTCTATAAAAGATTTCAACCACCTCGGCGAAAAAAAAAAAAAAAAAAAAAAAAAAAAAAAAAAAAAAAAAAAAAAAAACCTATACAGGGTGTCCGAAAATAATTAATAATTGTCGATTTCCTCTGCCAAAATCGAGGAAGAGCTTGAAGAAATATATGCCTTTCATTATCGAATATATTGTCATGTTATTCATGGGCACAAGTAAATAATGATACTATTAATTTATTAATTTATTTATATATATTAGTTGTCATGGCTTCTCCGATCATTTTAGCGTCTTCCATACCCTTCTATTGTTCTTAGAACATCATATCTCTCTCAAATATTTCCATCGATTGTTCGAGCATCTTCTGTCGCCACGATATTATATTGGGTGTTCAGAAATAAGCTGATACATGTTAGAATTATTGAGCACGCAATCACCTGAGGACATCATTAAAATGTCGCCAATAGCCCTCGCAATAGCCTCAAGAGGACGTCTCATTTTCTTCATCCTAATAACGTTATTATGCTGTCAATGTCTACAATATAATAATAATAATAAGACGTGAGGGACATCCTCAAATGTCACCGTCATCCTGATGACGTTATTAGGCCGCAATGTTTTGTAATAATGTCGAGAATTAGAAGACTTAAGGACAGCTTGAGTACATTATATGCAATCCTAGGAAACCAATATCCCACTAAACATGAAAACATAACTCAAATATGAATGTTATATTATACATTGTTACTATGTAATGTTATTCAGAGAGATACTTAATGTCACAGATATACATTGCGACAATGGGCCTTTGTGTCTCTTTCAAATATAACAACGTAATCTGTTAATAGTATAAATAATATTATATAAATTCATCAGGAATTACATAAAATCAATGTTACTTCATGAAGTATATTGATTGTTACTCATAACATCTATAGAAGTTTTCAGGTTATGTCTATTTTTTCTGGAATCATCAAGAGAATCATCTCACATCTGAATGATTTAGAAAAGACAGAGAAGATGATCTATTCCTAAATATAACTGTGTTAATGAATTGATCTTGCCGTACTCCTGAAAGACTATAATAAGTATGATCCAGTATCATATTTTAGTTATTCTGCTTCATAAATAACAATATTATCAATATATTAAATTCGAGGAAACGGAATATTTTGGTATCCACTATACTTATTGGGTTGGAATCAGAAACTACCTACCACTTTTACATTTAAAAAAAATGTATTTTGATGTTAGATTATTATAGTCCACCAGTAATTTCCTGCATCATACACAGATGGTGCGCGTCTCTATTTGAAATGATATATATAACTTTCTGAAATTTAGCCCATCCTTAAGAAATCTTGATAATTTGACTTACTTTCTCTTCAATGCATTCAAGAAAAATCTAAAGTATGTATCCCGTGTATTCATTTCCAATTCGTCATCCATTTACAATTACCTAGTATTATCTGAAAAATTCAATTATATGCAAAGCGTATGCATTTTCTTGTATAATTATTTTAGTAGAAAGTATAACACAATATATATCAATGAATAATAAATTTCTAATATTCTAATAATATACAAACACTCTATTTTGTACGAAATAATGGATATAAATAAAATCGTATACAGTATGATCCTATATGTATGATCTCAATCATCTTTTATTACTGAATAAGAATAGCTAGGTATAGTATAGGTCTCCTTTGGACTCGATTTTGACCCACTTCAAACGGACTGATTGCTTTCAAATTTGGCAGGTGTACATGATTCTGGTGACAATGCATCATGGAAATTTCGTTAGACGAAAAACAAAATGGCGGATCTAAAATGGCGGACGAATTTTGTAATTATGATCCGATTCGATTCAAAATTGGTATCTGAAAGTTTTCGAGGTAGGAGTTTGTGATTCTTGCGTCAAAATTGGTAAATCCAGGATGGCGGATCCAATATAGTGGACAAGTTTTGTAATATATGATCCTATTCTATTCAATGTTGGTATCTGGAGGTTATCGAGATCGGAGATTATGATTATTTCGCCAAAATTGGCCGAACTCAAAATATAAAAGGAATAGTAAGTAATTTAAAAAACTCAACCAAAAAGAAGTGTAGAAATTGAAATAATAAAAGTGTTTTGAATGAACCTACTGATTATACGGAGATGCTAATATTTTTTATGTTGTGTAATAATTATCAACAGACTTTTATTATTTTATTTTCTACGTCTTTTTAGTTTGACTATCTATAAAAGTGTGTTTCTTCAGTTTTTGAAACTACTATATTATTTATTATTCCAGATATTTTGGGATTTTCTCTCCTCGTTTCTATATAACGTGTAGTAAGGACAAATCAAATGATTTGTCCCAAAATGTCACTGCGGTGAAGAATTTTCCTATCGTAGAGCCTGAAAAAAATTCACTAGCTTGTCAGTGACAATTTGTATTGAAAAAGGTTCGGAGAGGAGAAATAGAGGTATAGAAAAAAATGTATCAAATTTTCACTATGCTTTATTGGACGTTTCGGGAACGAAACGGGAGCTTTAAACATAAAAACTGGATATTGGAATAGCAAATTCGTATTTGTCTAGACACTTTTCAGTTCTTAGTGACTATTGGTGACGTTGGCAATCAAATGAGTTACAGGATGTTTTCATCAATTAATCTTGAATTTTCCATTTTCAGTTTCAGATTTTAGTAGTATGAATACCATGTTGTATCTATATCAACTGAACAGGAAGCAAGTTACGAAAAGGTGTTTCTTTGGTTTTTTCAAACTACTATTCCTTTTCAATTTTTTACTTTGGCAAACTACAAAAGCGTGTTTTTTATTGTTCTTATATTTTTTGTAAGTATCCAATTTTGACGAAATAATCATAATCTCCGACCTCGTTAACCCCCAGATACCAACTTTGAATAGAATCGGATCATATAATAACAGAATTCCTCCACCTTATTGGATCCGCCATCTTGAATTTTCCAATTTTGACGAAAGAATCATATTCTCCAACCCCAAAACCACTAAATACAAGTTATGAGAAGAACCGGATCCTATAATTACAAAACTCGTCTGCCATATTGGATCCGCCATGTTTAATTTTCAAATTATGACGAATGAATCATAATCTTCGATTCCTAAAACCCCCAGATACAAATTTTGAATAGATTCGGATCATAATTACAAAACCCGTCCACCATATTGGATCCGCCATCTTGAATTTAGCAATTTCGATGAAAGAATCATCATCTCCGACCTCGAAAACCCCCAGATACCAATTTTGAAAAGAATCGGATCATAATCACAAAACTCGTCCGCCAGTTTGGGCCGCCATTTTGTTTTTTTGTGTAACAAAAATTTGATGATGCATTGCCACCCGAACTATACACACCTGCCAAATTTCAAATCAATCAGTCCGTTTGAAGTGGTTCAAAGTTGTCCAAAGGAGTCGCTACATACATACCAGGTGAACAACTATTAACGGCTGTCGGCGTGATCTGGAGTATCGTGAATTAAAAATGTAATGTATGCATATTAATACACGACCAAATAGAGAAACTAAATCTCAATAGACCAACGAAAACTGCAACATGATAGCTTTTCGCTAACGGAAGATAATGACGATCAAAGTTGGAAAAAGGATTGACAGATTGATGACAGTCGTTCTTAGTTGTTCATCCGGTACATTTATGTTAATGAAATGGGGTGTTGGAAAAAAGTGCGACCTTACACCGTACTACAGCTTTCAACCATAATACAGGGTGATCCACGTTGGATGGCCTATTAGAAGTATCTGGAGAACGAAAAGACAGAACATTCTGAAAATTGGGGAGCTTTGATAATTGAACATTCTCTATCCGTCTGAAGTATTTTCATCGATACAGTGTTGCCATTTCTATCAGAAACAACTAGCAACTTTGTTATTTCAAATGGAACACCCTGTATTTTATTACATTTTCAGATTCTTCCTGGAAAGCTGATTGCATCAATGCATCACACTTGGGGTCTAGCAGGAATGATTACAGAGATATAGGGTGTTTAAAATCGAGATTTTTCAATTTTAGGATTTTTTTGTGTCGAAACTATTCATTATCGATCAAAACGGCTTACATGTCCCTATCTTAACTTTAATTCACTATCTATTGGAATTTAATTGGAAAAAATACACGGTGCTTCAAGATTTAAAATTCTGATTTTAGAAGCATCCTGTATATAAACTACCTACTGATTGGTATTAAAAATGTACTAACAAAATTGTTTAATTTGCAGGGACACATTTTAACATTCTTAGGTTGATGTCACGTAAACGGAAAAGAAATAGTATTTTTCGTTTACTAGAAATGTTGTAGGTCTACAGGGCGTTCGACTATAGGTAGGCCAAAAGTGGCCAAAGCAAAGTGAACTACTTTCATGAATTTTCCTTGGCCCTTGTAAAACTCGACGTTACATAGCTATAAATTCCTTCATAGTTATCGCAAAACCAGATAAGTTTAGTCTTCTTATTGTCACCTTTTAGTCATCAAAATACCGTTTCCATCGATTTTAACCTCATTCCGAAAACATGACAAATAAATTAGGTACCCACCGGAAACCGGAACTGTATCTAGCAAATCAGGCCACCAAAAAGTCTTCAGCATGCAATGAATTTCGAAAAACTTTATACTTGAGTCTGAACACTCTTATAAATGCTTATAATAAATATGACCTGTTGACCACCTGTTTGAAGATATATATAAGATTGTACCGATATAGGAAAAGGTGATCATTGACCTCTCCATAACTGTTATTCTTACTCGCTATATGTGGGCTTTGCAAACTAGAGGGCAAAATATTATTTTCATTCGTTTTTATTTCAAGAAAATATAGGGTCATATATAATCCGCTACAAGATAGTTATTTGAACGAATTTTGTCCACAACAATTAGATCCAAATTGAGGCAGTAGTACAGTTAGAAGAGGATTCAAATAATTTGAAATATTTTTTTATCATTAACATATCTATACTTACAGTTATGAGGAGTGTGTTTTTCATGATTATTTTTTCCTGTTGTTGCAACTCTGGTGGTCACTAGATTTTTTTTAAAACAAGTTCGTTGCAGTAACTGGAACTTCGCGCAGTTAGTTTCACTAAACAGAGGGGATCTCAGGCCACATTTCGAAAAAAATGACAGGAAATATTTCCTCGTATTTCGTCGTTCCAATAAAATAAAAAATGGATAAGAACGATAGATCGGCGTTGCACTTGAACTTGATGGTGACTGAGGAACAGTATAGCAATAATTGATGTTTCTGGGTGGGGACCAAACTGGTATACTGAAGGATTGCAGAGAAGAGGACACCACCATGACTTTGCCTATACAGGTGGTTGGAAGGTGGGGGAACGAAAATGATATATGTCGGGTACCATGACCAAGAGTACCATAATTTTGTCTCGATTTCGTCGAGGTTCATTGATTATCGTGAGCGACCCAAATTTTTTCCGCTATAGTCGTGTTACTGGACCTATATACCTATTTTTATTGTTTGCACTGAGATGTTTGCACAGTACGTGAAGCTGAGAGTGCATTCCAATGAAAACTAGGCAAACAGGGTATAACATATACAGTGTGTCTCATTTCTAATGGAAAGACTTGTATCTCACGTAATCGTTGGGTAAGGATCGTGAAATCTTCTGGAGCGAGAGATATACCAAAAATATGCACTCTATGACCAAGTTGGGACATCTTTAGTGATACTGACTGCTCGCCATATTAGTCATGGAAATACCCCAATTCCCGGAAAATGATACTAGGAATCAAAATATATGTTGAAAATCACTTAACAACCAACGTTTCTTCTGAATCATTCTGGATCGGATTTCGAAAATTGGTGGGTAGCAAGTATACCTAAACCAAATTGTCCATTAATTGACAAAACAAGTTTTGTTCAATCACTTCCGGTCTCGCCAGAAACGACCCTAACTTTTGATTTTCCAATGGGACACCCTGTATTTTATTCTATATAATCGGTTAGGGATTATTATGACGAATGCAACGATACCGGGTTTGATAGGGTTAATTCAAACGACTACGAAGATATTCGCGTCCTAAGTTTCCATTTGCTCAATAAGTGGGACAGGGAAAGATGTTTCGATATTGCGAAGTCACACCCATTGAGCATTATGTAAACTTAGAACGCGAATATCTTTGTAATCGTTTGGAGCAACCCTCTCAAACCCTGTATCGTTAAATTCGTCATGATAATCCCTTATACCGGATTATATGTAATACAATTAATACAGGGTGTCCTATTTAAAAATCAAAAGTTAGGGTCGTTTACGGTAAAACCGAAAGTGATAGAACAAAAATTGGTTTGTCAATTGATGAGCTATTTGGTATACTTGCTACCCGGCAAATTACAAGATCCGATCTCAAATGATTCAGAAGTTACAGCGCTGGCCGTTTAAATTGCACTTCTCTGTATTTTTCCTGAAAAATTTTCAGTTCTGAAAAATTCATTTTTGTCTCACTTTTCATGAAAATTTACGAAATCGATGGTTTAGGATCCTGAAATTTGCTGGAGCGAAAGATATAACGAGAAATCTACTCAAATGAATTTTTTATAACTGAAAATTTTTCAGAAAAAATTTGATTAGTTAGAGAATTGGACGTCCTGTTTCCGAATTCGAAATGATTATCAACCTATCTTGGCTCTTGATATAATTTTCTGGAAATGTGTGTGGTTCCATGCCTGTTGGTGAGCAGTGTATATCACTGAAGATGACTCCACTTGGTCATTAAGATACTTTTTTGGCATATCTCTCGCTCCAGCAAATTTCAGGATCCCAACCCAACGATTACTTATACTTATATAAAATTTTCCAGGAAAAATATGAATAGTTAGTATATTGGGCGTCCTGATTCCGAATCCGAAGTGTTTTTCAACCTATTTTGCCTATTTTGGGTGTTACAAACCAGCCTCCGAAAAGTTTTTCTGTTATTATCGGCTGGATTATTGGAGATACAAAAACTAAAAAGTTAATTTTATTCATATCCATAAATCCAACTTCATTTATTTTGACATACGGTCCTGATTACATGTGTCCACAGATCCTGAAAGCATTTTTCATTCTGAAAGCATTCTTCTTCCTGAATACAATCATGTATAAAAATTGGTTTGAATGTGTTTCGACGTATCCATTATCGATGCATGTTTGTTAAAAATTTCAATTCTCTGCAAATTTTCTCAAAATTTCAATACAGAGGTAATAATGAACCCTGTATAATTGTGAAATATGGCTTGCATCAGTGGTAGCTTTGCTGGGCGCCATATTGAAGGACAATATATTTGGAAGGCCACTGAAAGAATTATACAGGGTGGCATTGAAATAAGTGCAAAAATTTCACTGAGAAAGCTTGACGTGTACTATTGATTAGCACTAATAAAAAACATTTAGGGATCAAAATAAAATTTGAGGTTAGACCCCTTTTTCCACCCAAAGTTCTACACTGTAGCAAATCTGATGACGTCACCCCTGTTCAAATTTCTATTCACGCTGAGTTCAATCATTTAAATTGTTTTAAAAGTGGCATTTTTTCCTCGTATTTTGTTAAATTTTTGGGATGAAATTTCTCGTTAATTAGAAGAATGAGAAAAAATCTGATATATGTGCACTTATTTCAAAAACACCTTGTATAAAGAGCATTTATTTAGTTTTAGACAATCATATGTCTTGTTTAAAATCCTGATGGCTTCTCTAGAAAGTGGTTGTTTTGATGTGGATATAGTGGCCACAAAATATCCAGACCATCAGTGAGTCCATTCAAAGTTCTCACATTTTCATCAAGAGCTGAATTATTATTTAATATCCACCAATTTCAGTCTAGTAGTACTAAATTGTAGATGCTGATGCTAGAAAGTAGTCCTCCATGTTAGATTAAATACCTACTCCTGTTAAAATTATCTGTCTTAGAATGAGAAATCTTGCAATGCAAAATCTCTGACTGCTTTCCATTCCAGAGTTGATTCCAAGCCAGTGATGTACTCTTTTTGAAGGGTATTTTATCAAGAGTTTCCTTTGCTGCAAAAGAAAACTATGGTGCCTATTTATGAGCCAGAAGCATCTCTAGCCAGATCATCTGATCTTTCATTGCTAAAGGCATCCAAACAAGAAGTGTCAGCTGTTTATTTCTGTCTTCTACTCCTCCAATCTCCAAAGGCACAATCTCTGGAATTGAGCTGGAAAATGTTGGCATTTTCTCCTAGCAGGACATAAATGTTTCAATAACACACCTATGACAGTTGCTTTGCAAGTTCTGAAATGCTTTCACTTTACCAGACTTTTGGAAGCTACACTGTATCAAGTATTCCTGGTATACCAGATTAAAAAATTAAGAGGCAATTTTTAGTGAGAAATCATTTATGCAATCATAAATAAAATAATTTATTTGATTTTGAAACCACAGATGGACTCTACAAGATCATGCATTGATTTTAACATAAACTTTAGGTCTCTGAAAGACTTTTATGCCTCCATCTATTCTTTTCAGCTCCTCTTCAATCTCAATTTTTCTCTTCTTGACCCTCAGAGTATCACTTCTCACAGGTAGACAATTGAGTTCTTGAATCCTGTCAGCATAACTTTGTCTCAAGACTCTCAAGGTTTCTTTTCTCTCTTCCTCAGGTAACAAAATGTGTCCTGGTGGACAATCCTCATCTACTTCTTCCTCTTTTTCATCTTTTCTATTCTTCAGGTACTGGGGCACAACACCCCTCTGGTATGTAGGGGGTGCTTGAGCAGGCACTTTGGTGGTAGATTCTTTAGGTAACTTTTGTTTGAAATTTGTTTTATTTTCTTTGATGAAGTTCTTTTCTTCTGGTTCAGTGTTCTCAGTAATGTCAGCAGGGTCACCATGCTCAAATCTGTGAGGTGATTTGGATGTTATATTGAGACGTTTTAAGCCTGCAGTTGGGTATTTGATCACACCAGTTTCAAATACCTTTGAAGGGTCATCTAACCTTTCAGTTTGCACTGACCTATGTGAGACTTTCTGCTCATACTGGGGTATGTCAGGTTCCCTAACTTTTTTGCTCACGTTTTTTTCAATATTTTTGGTAGAACCAAATCTGCTTTCTTTGGATAATCCTCGTCGCACTGGGATAGTATCTCTGGGTCTTGCCAATGGAGGTACAGTATTGTATTTGTCATCATTTGAATATTTGGGTTTTATTGCACCTGCCTCCTGTAGCAATTTTTGCATCTGTCTAACAGATTTTACATTTTCTCTAATGAAGTTTCGTCTGTTAACGGGTTTTGGATCAGGAAAAACACCTCGCAAAGTTGTAGAACTCATATTGGTATCTTCAATACTATCCTCGATACTATCATTGATTGAAAAAGAAGACAACTTACGACAGTTGTATTTTCCACCTAGACATTGAGGTACTCACCTTCCCACACGTTGAAATTTTATGAAAATCAAATTTTTAATTGATAACTTGACGTTAGCAATCCATCAGCTCTTTGCTATTTTTCCTAATGTTTTCATTTTGTTTTTTATTGATTATCCTTCTCTATCTCTCTTCAACTTCTTCATATTGCATAGATCTTGGTGTTTACTGCCAACTGCACAAAACAAAAGAAGCTTTGAAATTTCACAACAGTTGACAGACCAATCATACCACAGAACAAAAACAGCAACACGAGCACACAAGTTCAGTGACATAATAGAAACATAGCAACTGTCATCATATTATAATATATGAGTTCTGTGATAGCAACAGAAAATCATGAGAAAATCCTTTTCAAAATTAAATGTGACGTCAGTAAACCATACAGGGTAGGTAAATAATGCATCTGCTACCTTCACCTTCAAGAAAAAGGATTTAGATCATGTAAATTGTGAGAAGATGAAATAGATATTTACGTAACCAGTTAGGAAACGCATCACTTTGAGAGTCCCAGTTACACAAAATGCGTTTCCTCTAACAACCTAACGTTTTACGAACAATATTTTTTCTAATATTGATGAAACATTTTGTCTGAACAGAAATCCTTTCAGCTTTTCAGTGTCGTACATCAACAAATTTTAAACGAGCGATACATTTTATGTTTTCACCAACTGAACCTATTCGTCCGGATAGCCTTAGAAACTCAGATACCTTCAAAAACGTGAAAAAAAAATTACCTACGGCCACTAAAGAAAGTATGCAAGAACACACGAGTTACTGTCAAGAATTATAATTCAGACTTACGGCCTACGTGCGTAACTTTTCCATTCGTGCGTAATATGCTTCTTACAACACATATTACGTATTATACTATTATGTACCTAGGCAATACGTTGTTCTATCCATCCATTTATTACATATCATTCTTTTCATCAACAAAATCTCTTTGAGTTGAGATCCATGAGCCATATTCGAAATGACCAATCAGCATTTTGTGTTGGAACTACAGCCAATGAGACTCCATCAGATCAGTCCCACTTGACTGATCTCTGACTTCACATTACCCAATGAATTCTTGGATCTAAAAACGAGCGCATGCGTCTTAAAAATATATCTAGATGAAAAGGCCTATTGATAGATCGATTTCTAAATCTCAACTTTATTGTACTGCTCCAAGGCCTCCTAGGGTAATCAGTTCCTAACACCAGCCAAGAAGAATAGCGTTGTGTTGGGAGTGATATTTTCACCAAAGTTCAAAAATAAAAATCACAGGAATACTGAGTTTTCATACTCATATTTATTGTTATATTTATCATTCTCAGGAATGAAGAACAGCACATAAAGTCACACGATTACCATGTCTATCAATTATTAATTCCTAATTACATATATCCACAAGAACAACGCCTTTCACTCAATCCGACTTATCGCTAGAATTCTGTCTCTTCATCGACTTCAGAGCTTTCTCTCTCAACTTTTTCTCGTCCTCGTTCACCACTTCAGCTTCGCTATTATCAGAATCATCGCTCTCCTGCTTCTTCTTTTTATGCTTCTTATGTTTCTTGGAGTGCTTCTTCTTCTTCTTGTGCTTTTTGTCTTTCTTCCTCTTCTTAGCCTCCACTTCGTCATCGGAATCGCTGCCAGACTTCACTTTCTTCTTATGCCTCTTCTTCTTCACCGACTCTTCCTCGCTGTCCGAAGAACTCTCCTTCTTGTGTTTCTTCGACGACTTGTCTCTGTCCGAATCATCCGAACTGTCTTGGCGTTTCTTCTTCTTGGGCGCATCGCTCTCGCTGGAATCCTTCTTCGACTTTTTGCCCTTATCCGAACTCACCGACCTGCGCTTCTTCTTCATCTTCTTGTCCTCCTCGGATTCCGAGCTTTGGTGTCGTTTTTTCGACACCTTTTCCTCGCTGCTATCGCGCCTCTTCCTATCTTTCTTCTTCTTCACCTCGACCTCCCGCGAAGATCGATCGTCGTCGTCGCTGTCGCTGGAGCTGGAATCGCGCTTCTTCGGCTTCTTCTTGATCTTCACTTTGCGTCTGTCTTTCTTCTCCTCCTCGCTGTCCGAATCGCTGGAATTCGATTCGGATTCGCTCTTCTGCACCTTGCGCGGCGGCTTCTTCACCGTCTTCACTTCCACCTTCTCCTTGTGAGGCTTCTTCTTCTCCTCTTTAGCGACGACCGGCTTGGCGGGCTTCGGCGGGAACTCGTTGGCCTTGATGAAGGGCGACGGGGTTCTGGAGAGGCTCCTCGAGTAGCGTGGGGGGCCGTGCGGGGGGATCGGGTGGTTTTCTTCGGGGCTGACGCTGCGGGACTTTTTACGGTTCCGCTCCTTCTCCTTTTCCCTATCTCTCATGCGAGATTCTCGTTCGGCCGCCTCGGATTTCCTCTTCTTGTCGAAGTCTTCGCGTTCCTTCTTCTCGTTCTTGTGCAGTTCTTCTTCTATCTTACGACGAGCTTCTTCAACCTTGAAAAATGGAAAAATGCTCATACTTATACCAATGTCGACATGAAAGTTGGGACAGTTGGGCATCGCACGCTTGCAGGACTTTCAGTAAATAGTAGTTTGAGAAACTAGAAGAACACGCTTATGAATAGACTAGCTGACCCGGCAAACGTTGTTTTGCCATAAACATTATTTCCAGAATTTATTTTTTTTTTTCAGATAAATATCTATCAAAAAACTATCATTATTTTATTTCTACTTCTTTTTAGTTTGGCTATCCATAAAAGCGGGATTCTTTAATTTTTCAAACTATTCTATTCATTTTCTACTCACATCTTTTTAGTTTGGCTTACAATAGCTGATTCCCGGCAAACGTTTTGCTTTTTACATTCATTTCTAGAAAATATTTTTGTAGCTGAATATTTATCAACACACTTTTATTATTTTGTTTTCTACTTCTTTCTAGTTTGGCTATCCATGAAATCGTGTTTCATTATAATTACAAACTACTATTTTTATTTTCTACTTCTTTTTAGTTTGACAATCTATCTCGTTTTTTGAACTATACTATCAATTTTCTACTTCTATTCAGTTTGGCCTCGAGTTTGGCTACCCATAAAAGCATGTTTCACTCTATATTTTTTCAAACTACTATTTATTATTAAGCTCTTTCACCATATTGGATCCGCCATTTTGAATTTCACAATTTTAAAGAATGAAATCATAAATCTCCGACCCCGAAAACCCTCAGATACAAACTTTGAATAAAATCGGATATTAACTACAAAACTCGTCCGCCATATTGGATATCTTTGATTTTCTAATTTTGATGAAAGAATCATCATCTCCGACACCGAAAACCACCCGATACAAATTTTGAATAGAATCTGACCATAATTACAAAATTCGTCCGCCATATTGAATCCGCCATTTTGAATTTCCCTATTTTGACAAATGATTCATATCTCCGACCTCTCAAACCTCCAGATACCAAATTTTGAATAGAATCTGACCATAATTACAAAACTCATCCGCCATATTGGATCCGTCATTTTGAATTTCCAAATTTTGATAAAAAATCATAATCTCTGACCTCGAAAACCCCCAGATACCAATTTTGAATGGAATCTGATCATAAGTACAAAACTCGTCCGCCATATTGGATCCGCTATCTTGAATTTGGAAAATTTGACGAAGGAATCATAATCTCCGGAAACCCCCAAATACCAATTTTGAATGAAATCGGATAACAATACTCGTCCGCCATATTGGATCCGACATCATGAAACGACGCATCAGCACCACAACCCGAACTCCACCCCATAACCCCCCCTCACATCCCCCGCCCCGAAACCCACCTTCTTCGGCGGCGGCTCGGCCGCGTGCCTCTCCTCCTTCCTCGACCTCTTCCCTTCCTCCCGTTCCTTCTCGCCCCTCCTCTCCCGCTCGTCGCGCTTCTGCGGACTAGGGCTCCTCCTCCTCGCCGGCGGCCTCGACCGCTCCCTCTCCCTCACAGGCGACCGCCTCCTCACGCTGCCCCTCCTCTCGCGCGAGGAGCGCCTGCGCGATCGCGATCTCCTGTCTCTGTCTCTGGAGGCGCGGCGGTCACGTGGCAGTGGCGAGGGGCGGCGGTAGGACGCCCTGTTGCGGCTTCTGCTCCTGCGGTACCTTGAACAGCAAATGAGAATGACGAAAAATGTGTCCACTTGCTCGTTGAACAAGAATATCGCATTTAATCGCTATTAGTTGAGGCAATTCTAATATCAATCTTCATTTCATTTTCATATCCATACAAATACAGTTCACTATCTATCCAACAACATCAAACATATTCATGCGGCTCGAAGGACCAATATGTTCGCTTGAACTGCTTGGTGCTACATGTGAATGCTTCAGCTGCTCTGTATCCTTCGTGATGAACTTGGCAGTCTTGAAGGTTTGATATGGATAGATCCGGCTCGAAGGACCAATATATGAATGAAATTAAGATTGATATCAGATTTGCAATTTGTATTGCAATCCTCCTTAATTTATTGATGTTATTGGTCAATAATATTTGTAGCTCCGTGAGGGAGATCAAATGTGGTGTACCACAAGGTTCCGTTTTAGGTCCGATTTAATTCTTAATTTACATCAATTCAATACCATCTTTGAAACTGAAAGGAGATCTGAATGATGATACTACAATAATCTATTCCTCTAAAGAATTTAACGATATAGTTGATTATAAAAAAGGTGACTTGAAAATGATATCATCTTGGCTACAAATTCATAAGCTGACTCTTAACTATGACAAATCTACATATATGTATATTTAAAAAAAAAACTGATATGTATACAATATTTTTCAACCAGAAAGCCATAAAATATTTAGATGTTACAAAATTCTTAGGTCTTTATATTGATGAACAATTATCGTGGACTTAACATATAGCTCACCTGAGAAAAAAGCTAAATCCAATTACTGGCATTTTATACAAAATTCGAAATTTCTTTCCCCTTAGATTTTTGATTTACTCAAAATTACAATATTTAATATCAATTTGGGGAAGCACAAGTATATTACACTTGAAACCATCAATGAAATTACAAAATAAAACAATTAAGTGCATTTACAATTTACATTACCTGGAACCAACTATTAGTCTTTACAAACCAAAAAATCTGTTGAATTTATCATCTTTATATAAAATGAAAATTTGTTGTTTTATTCATTTTGTGAGAAAAAAAATAAAAATATCCAATAGTTCAAACAATTCAAACTAATTATGACGAGCAAATAAATTGACATATGAAAGAATAGCTAACAATACCCAGATTGTCCTGCTTTGCATGAACAAACAAATCCATTGTTCTACAGGAGTTCCTCTGGATCACAACTTCAATTTTACTTCATGTGGGGAAGATTTCATTTACGAAGTTTGTAGAAAAAGTGCAAAAATGTGCCTTTTGTTGAAGTCTTCTGCCTCATACAAAATCACATAGTTAGCACGGAGAACTGTTTCTCCTTCCACTACTGGTGGGCTTTTTCCATCGAAATAGAGCAAAATATTTGCCAAAAGAACATCTACAATAGGAGTTTTCGATCGAATATTGACTTGATTAATGTCAAGAAATGTAAAAACTTATCACTCTCATCAGTACACAGTACACAAGCCAATAGCACTAATTGGATTGAGCTTGTTTTCCCCCAGTTTTGACGTGGCTTTGACATGGAACGATGGAAACCGAGCGCCACCTGGTAACATTGATTCCCGCGAATACTGTGATGTGAGAAAAACAATTTCAAAATCACCCTAGGTGTACGAAAATTCAGCGGTGGGGTGGACCAAATGGTAACACACTGTAAATTATTATTATTGTCATTCAGTTAATTCAACACTGACCTGCCCCTGCTCAGGCTCCTCGACCGCCGCCGCGGGCTGCTCCGCCTCGGGCTGCTCCGCCTCGGGCTGCTCCGCCGCGGCCTACTGCCGCCCCGCCTCCTGCTCCGGCTCAAGCTCCGCCTACCGTAGCTGCCGCGCCTGCCCGCCCCGCCCCGACGCGGGCTCGCCCTGCGCGACAGGCTGCGCCGCCTGCGGTCTCTGCTCGGGCTCCGCCGGCCTCTAGACGGGCTGCGTCTGCCGACCCAAACAGAGATATCGATATAACGATGAACATTGTAACATTTTGTCTGTTGATGAATTGTTTCATGAAACATCAGCAATATACATTAGACAATATTTACAAAACGATAATCATGTAAAACATAAATATGACACCAAAAATTCTCTTCAACTTTAACGAATAACATGTCAATCTAATAGGTAAAAAAATTTACAATAAATTGCCTTCCTCTTTGAAAAAAAGTTTTTTTTTTATTAAAGAAAACAATTCTATCTTGGTTGAATGAGAATTCAGAAATTTTGGAAATTTGTTTGACTATTAAATTATACTTATGCAACATAATATCATGTTTTGATAGTTATTTTTAGATACTATGAATATATGTATTCATAATGTAAATTGTACTCAATTAGAAAATGACTTGTAGTTAGTTAGTGGAAGGAAAAATAGTTATTTATACACCAAGGTAGTGAAGAATATCATCATTACTCAAGGACCAAGATTATATCCGGAGGCTTCAGCCATTCCTGCGAATCTCTTATCAGAACAGTGCATTCGGGTTAATTAGGACGGATGTCTTCATTGACTAATTGTAAGAAATTTCATAAAAACATGGGTCCAGAAACGCCTCCCTGGGGGGTTATAACTATCTGGAGAAGAGCCCGAGATGATTGTTTATATTTTCGAAACCTTCTGTGAAAAAATAATCACATTTTGTACATGTGCCTAACTTTTTATGCCCAATTAGAAAATGTTAAGAATTTCCCGAAATTTTGAACAGGGGCGTGGAAAAGAGGTGGAGCTAGGGCCACGTTTCCCCTTTCCTTGTTGCATTTTGAAGATTTCCAAACCGGTGATTCCTTTCATATAATTCAAGAGACTGTTCAAACACATATAATATGCAATTTTCCCAGTTAATGTGAGTTTATGATGAGAATTACTAAGAATAAGACATTCATAAATAGAGTTACCAAAATTGTAATTGTTAATAAGTTTTTTGCCTCAAAAAGTCTCATACAAGTCTCCCTATAATTCATATTATGCATCACTCTCATAATTCTTTCTGATATAACAAACATTTTTTCAAGTATCAGGTTTTCCTACCCAAAAAATTTTAACATTCCTTATTGAAGATTGAAAATTTGCTAAATACAACATTTGGAGAATGAAGAATCAAAGGAATTCGTATTATTGTGAAGGGGAAGGTGGTTTTATCACTTAAAATGTGGGAAATTCTATCGACAAATGAAGAGCGATGATATTATCATGCTGTCATTGAATGTTCTCAGGCAGTTGAAGAATATTTGCATTTTAGAATTGTTATGGCTTTACTATGAGAGATTTGATCATTGTGAATAATTTCACACTAAGATGGGCCAAAATCCAGTAAGAATCATCACATTTAGGCTGGATCTAAGAAATTCGTCATTATAACCCTAGAAGAAGTCAAGTTTCCAAAAAGCGACAAATATATCTCCGAATCATTCCAACGGAAAGTTGTAATACCATTACCAAAGTTTCAAAAATTGAAAAATAAAAAATGCAAGGGATGTTTCACATGTCTAAATGTAATAATCAAATACCACATTGGAACAGTTCCTACTCGTATCCAGGCCAAAGGTCCCAGAACGTGGGGCCATTCCTCGACCCAGACTTCCCCACCGAACTAGCCGCACCAAGATCCAGATCCGGATACGTCGAGGAAATCCAGATCCGGATGCGTCGAGCAGATCCAGATACGCCGAGGAGATCCAGATCCGACTACGCCGCGGAGATCCAGACCCAGATACGTCGAGGAGATCCAGATCCGAAGTCGGCGAGATCCAGATCCAAATACGGATGCGTCGAGAAGGTCCAGATCCTGATCCGGACGCGTCGAGGTGATCCAGATCTGCTAGATCTTCGGCTTGCGTTCGGAAGATGTCGGAAGGTGTCCTCGGACGTCTATGCGCGAGCGTTGGCTCGAGTCTCTGCGAGGTCCCGCCGTCCTCAGACGATCCAGATCGAGATCACGTGACGTTCGAGGTCTTCTGCGACGATCGCGAAGGAAAGTCCTCTTCACAGTGATGAAATCTCCTATCTGTGGAGACGACTGGGGAGTGGCACAGGTTGTGCGTGTGTGTGTGTGGGTTGTGACGATTCGCCGTCTAGATTGGGCAGTCTCTGTCAGATGAGGCTCTGGGGGAAGAGGGTTTCGGTGGACCTACTCTCGTCGGGTGTTCCTTTATTGGGCTGCTACAATGTAGCCGCCCCGAATGATAGCTGGGTACTGCTATGGCCTGCTTGAAATTTTTACAAGACTTTTGATTTCAAATTCAGGATAGGGGCTCAACACTTTGATTCTTTAGGAGTGCCATGTTAATGAGATTGTTTTGATTCTACTATCAATGGTTTGAATAATTTTTGATCTATTTATTTGAAAAGTAACACGTTGATGCCCTACATCGAGAATTTGAAAGCAAATTAGTGAAACATCCCTGAAAAGAAAGGGTTAGATTGTTCTGATAGATATCTGGTACTTGTGCTTTTTCCGAAGTATTTAAATATGACCAAGCACCTTCCTCACGATTTTTAATTACTTGAAATTATTTCCTGAGTGAATATAGTTCATTGAAATTGTTTCAGAAGCAACGAAGATTACAATCAATTATATAAGAACCAGATAGACAAATATGGGAATATGAAATTGGTAATTTTATAATATTGTTCATATTATTTACTTACACGAATATTTCACGTTGTTATTCCTAAATATAAATACAGTGTAAATAAACAGGTGAATCCATCAAAACGTTCAAGGAACCTTGTACGTTTATTAAATTATAGAGTCCAAACATTTTCCAAATTAGGTATGTTCCATAAGATTGTTCAAACTTCCCTTCCCAAGTAACTTTGTGACATCGTTTTTCGTTAAATCATCCACTGAGAGAACGTCAGGTCACCACTTTGCAATAGCGAATTGGCGCCCAACGTGGGACACCAGGTCCTTAACTGGTGATTTAGATGTATTTCAAACGTCAAATATCCTAGTTGATTGAGAAAGATTGAACAAATCACCACGTTTCGTTATAAATTTCATCAACATAAGGAAATTATTGTATTCAACATATTGTGTCATTCAGTGTTCTATAACCAACAAATGAAAAAAATCGAGACACTAGATATGACTATCAAGAAGTCACGAAAATATGTATAATAAACCCCACCTTCTGGAAATGCTCCTTTTTCTGCTTAAAGAACGCCGTCTCGATAGGCTGCGCTTTCTTCTGGGACTGGGATCTTTGCGTCTCGGAGATTTTGATCTTGATCGCTTTCTCTTACCTTCCGGCTCGCTATCCGAACTGTCCTTATTTGATCTGTGAATACAATAAAACAAAATGAAAATTGCGTCCACACATTTTCAAAAACAAGTGTCACCCAATGACTGACCAATCCACTCTGCAATAATTATTGGCGCCCAACGTGGGGAACAATCACTCCACAATTCGAGAAAATCACGAACCAATAAATGGCGGTAGATAAACGGCAAATTTTGAAGTGGAGGTTTTCAACAAACATTTCTCATAAAAATCCAATGAATTTGGTTGTTTTAAAATCCATATTTTAGGAAACCATCTCATTTACCTCAGATAATTTTGATGATGAGCTATTGATCACATTTATAATAAGCAAAAAAGCACTTTCGAAAGGGGATTGGTCTCATAGACATGAAGGTACCTACAGCTTGAAAGAAGCCTTTAGATTTTCAATACCTATTTAGAGGTACCATCTTGAACTGATCCCCGTGTTTTGAAATAATGCTAATTCCAAAAATGGTATAAGATAATCCGAACAAAGATAATGATACAAATTAATATGAGGAAATTGGCGAATGTCAAATTCAGGAAAATCTATGAATGCCAACTTTATTTCATCGTCTTACGGAACTGATTGTAGAACGTTGAAAGATGCGTTATCTTTAAATCAGGGGTGAATTGGCACCCAACGTGTGGCCAATTCAGTCTGCAACGGTGAATTGGCGCCCAACGTGTGGCCAATTCAGTCTGGAACGGTGAATTGGCGCCCAACGTCTGATCAGTTCAGTCTGCAACAGTGGATTGGCGCCCAACGAGTGGCCAATTCAGTCTGCAACAGTGAATTGACGCCAAACGTGTGGCCATCAATTCACTACAAGAACAGAGCACTCACACACATTCACAATATTCACCTGTAGTGGCGCTTCTTCTGCACGCTATCCTCTTTCTTCCGTATCTCAAAGTTCTCCTTCGACCCCACCGAACTCGACCGCGACCGGCGCTTGTCCTTGCCCTTCGACGCGCTGCGCGACGACCTGCCCCTGCCGCGGCCGCCCTTGATCGACTCGCTCGACGAGCGCGACTTCGAGCGCGACTTGGAGCGCGTGCGGCTGCGCGTACGCGAGCGCGATCGCGACGACGCCGCCTTGTGGTTCTCGGCAAGCGACATCAGCTTCGCCTGCAGCTTCGAGACCGGCAGAGTCGCGGGAGCTGCTGTCCTAGAAATAGAGAAGTCGAATTTGTGCAATACATAGATGAAATCATGGAATTGAACATATAAATTATAATAGGAGACATGAATATAAATTTCTCAGCCGACAATAATAGTAATCTAAATTAAATGAGCATAATCAAGAGCAATGATTTTCGTATTGTAAATGAATCAAATCTATGAATTTGTTATAATAGTATATAGTGTGAAAAAGCTCATGAAAAGTAAAATATGACATGATGAAATGAATTAGTGAATGAGAGATCATTCATTCAGGTTTGATTTTCTCATTGCCAGAGGATATGTTTCTTGACTTTAATTTTGAACTTTTTTTGGCCAAGTGTAGAATTAGCAGCATGAAGAGGAAACAAGTCATATTGTCTAGTATGATGTTCAAAGAGAATGAGAATTCCTTACCAATATGAAGTTAGATTTGAGGTGTTTGTTGATAATAACAAGAAATTTTGAGAGTATTTATCAGATAGTGCTCTTCCAAAGAAAATATATTTGTTTCTTCATAAAGTCGATTTGATGGGGTGTCATATGGAAGACAATACAAAATTTTTGATGTTTTTTGATATAGTACAGATATTTTGTTGAAATTATTCTTGGAACATGATAAATCGAATGCAGCGGCTGATAGTTCATAGCCAAGCATAGCGAGGCAGTCAATCTACTTTGCTGCGTCACCATATCTTGGTCACACTGTATAATAGGGATTGGAAAAACTGAAAACGAAAAATTATTACAACTCACCCCTTGCTGTCCGGCGGATCAGAGCCCTCTCTGCCGTTCGCTCGCTCGCCGGGACTCGCTATGCCGTTCCTAGCGACCTTGTCCGCAGACAGCGATCTGCTGCGCGACCTGCTGCGCGACCTACCCTCGGCACTGCGGCTGCGCGACTTCCTCTCCCTGCTCACCGACCGGCTGTCCACTCCATCGCCTACGGCGCCTCGCGACCTGCTCCTCGACTTCCCGTCCCCACTGCTGGACACCGACGAAAAATTGAGGGGTTAAAGTCAGAAACCGACAAAATTCAACTTTTGTTTGTTTATAATCCAAAATCATTATCATTTGACCGTACAGACCGGGTGTCAGGAATCTTACGTGCCAGGGTGCCGGGTTTATTTCTCTAACGTAACAGATCACTAGTAAAAATAAACAATTTTGATCATCATTAGTTATGCCGTTCCTAGCGACCTTGCCGCCGACAGCGATCTGCTGAACGACCTGCTCCTCGACTCCCCGTCCCCGCTGCTGGAGACCGACAGGAAAATCGAGTGGTTAGTGTCAGAAACGAAGACAATTTCACTTTTCATTGTTTATAATCCAAAATCATCATCATTTGACAGTACAGACCGGGTGTCAGGAGTCTTACGAGCCAGTGTGCCGGCTTTATTGTTTTCATGTAAACATATCACTAGTAAATAATAACCAATTTTGATTATCATTAGTTATGCCGTTCCTAGCGACCTTGCCGCCGACAGCGATCTGCTGAACGACCTGCTCCTCGACTCCCCGTCCCCGCTGCTGGAGACCGACAGGAAAATCGAGTGGTTAGAGTCAGAAACGAAGACAATTTCACTTTTCATTGTTTATAATCCAAAATCATATCATTTGACCGTACAGACCGGGTGTCAGGAGTCTTACGAGCCAGTGTGCCGGCTTTATTTTTTTCATGTAAACATATCACTAGTAAATAATAACCAATTTTGATTATCATTAGTTATGCCATTCCTAGCGACCTTGCCGCCGACAGCGATCTGCTGAACGACCTGCTCCTCGACTCCCCGTCCCCGCTGCTGGAGACCGACAGGAAAATCGAGTGGTTAGAGTCAGAAACGAAGACAATTTCACTTTTCATTGTTTATAATCCAAAATAATCATCATTTGACCGTACAGACCGGGTGTCAGGAGTCTCACGAGCCAGTGTGCCGGCTTTATTTTTTTCATGTGAACATATCACTAGTAATAATAACCAATTTTGATTATCGTTAGTTATGCCGTTCCTAGCGATCTGCTGAGCGACCTGCTCCTCGACTTTTCGTGCCCGCTGCTGGATACCGACAGCAAAATCGAGTGGTTACAGACCGTGTGTCAGGAACCTCACGAGCCAAGGTGCCAGGTTTATTTCTCTCACATATCAGATCACTGCTCACCGACCGGCTGACTGGATACCTAACAGAACAGTCATAAGTATGAAATTTTGCTTGAGAGAAAAAGCACTCCTTCACTGGCCAAGCTCAAGCAGTGAGCATCATTAGGTAGCAGTTACCCTGTTACTTCACCTCACCCCTGTACCCTGGCAGTCCTAAAGCTTTCTTTATACCAGAACCCTGTCAGTATAATATCCATGATAGCCCTGGTTTCAACATTATAAATTGATGATTTGGCAATGACAATGTTTACCTGGATTTCCTGTCTCTGCTTCTAGACTTCCTGTCCTTGCTCCTGGACTTCCTGTCTCGACTCTTCGACTTCCTATCTCGACTCTTCGACTTCCTGTCTCGGCTCTTCGACTTCCTGTCCCTGCTCCTGGATTTCCTGTCCCTGCTCCTGGACTTTCTCTCCCTGCTACGTGACTCCTTGTCCCTGCTCCTGGACTTCCTGTCTCTGCTTCGTGACTCCTTGTCACGACTCCTAGACTTCCTGTCCCTGCTCCTGGACTTCCTGTCCTTGCTCCTCGACTTCCTCTCCTTGCTGTCCCTGCTCTTGGATTTCTTCTCCTTGGTCCTGCTCACGCGTTCTTTGGAGCCCTTCCGAGGTCTCGATCTCGATCTGGACCGTCGAGATCTGGATCTGTCTCTGTCGCGATACTTTTTCTCCTTCTCGGATTTTTCGCGTTCGCGGTCCTTTTCTCGGATCTCTCGCTCCTTGTCCTCCTTTTCCTATTCCAGATATACAGGGTGAAACAAGAAAAAAAAAACGAAGGCATGGCAGATTTTTTGAGGACATACTCACTGAGTATATTTTCGTGCGCTTCACAAGATAAAAAAATATATCAAATTACTCGAGGAACAAAAATTGGCTGAACACAAAATGTGGTAGGTTTGAAGTATTGCAATAGCATAGGCAACGAAAAGGTATAGAGGGAAATGCTTGGAACACAATTTTTAACTTCGTGACTTTGTTTGGACTAGTTGGAAGGTGAACATATCAAAAGTCCACGCCCGCAGCCCTTGAGCCTGATGGGAGGGGGGGGTTTGAAAGGCTCATTTTTCGGTTTTTTGCTTATATTTCGAAAACAAAATGGCGGCACATTAAATTTGCAACAAGTTTTGTTTAGTCAAATTTTCTGATATCTTGTATCGTTTTCGAGATATCCACTTTTGAAAGTCTGTAATTTCAAGAAAGAAAATTTTTGCTTCACTCTTCTGCTCTTTTTGACCGGATAACTCTTCAACGATGCGCCAAGTATATGCTGGTCATAGGGTTGTAGAGCAATGAATTCTCTTCAATAATACATATTGTTTCACTATTTTATCTATTTTTCTTCAAATGTTGAATCAGTTTCAGTGTTGAGCGTGAAATTTGAAGCTTTGCGACATCTGTCGGCTAATAAATAATTTATCAATTTCTCACCATTCCCGGTCAACGTATTGGTCGAGATATCCACCATTATGTGAACATATTCAGTACTGAAAAATATGAATGCTTGTAGGCACGCTCACCAGATTCCTCACACTTAATCAAACTAAACCATTTTAATGGGAAATTTTGTGGCTATGACCATGTTTGTGCATATATGAGTGTCTATAAGTAAAGGACTTGTGATAGTTTTACACAACCATCAAGTTAAAACGAAGTTTATTGACTTTGAAAAGTAAAACAACATGAAACATCTCAATAGTTAGGTACCATTCAGTCTCTTGGGGATAAAAGATCTTGATCCTCGTCTTCGTTCTCATCTTCTTGTAGGAAACCTGTCAGAGGACCATCCTGTTCTTCCTCATCTTCAGAGTCCACTTGAGGGACCCCATTGAGGCAGTTCCCTTGGCAATTCTGGCATGCCGGAGAACATTTGAGGCCTGCTTTTTTGCCACACTTTGCGCTGGCACAGTCTGCGTCCATCGGCAGAAAATCATTTTCAGAATATCGTCCGGTGCAGCTGCTGACTCACTGTGCACTAGGAGCAGGCAATTGTCCTCAATCTTCCACCCATGCATCTGAGGAGCAGGCCATTTCACCTGCCTTCTGTATTTGGGCGGTGGTGGAGGAAGGGTCTGAAAAGACCGCTGCTGCTTTCTGGACCTCTGGAGACTTCAGAAACAACTTCGCAAATGCGACCTTGCTTTTTCGAAAAGCGGAAGATGTTGTGTCGCATCCAGTAAATGAGTGCAAAAATAGCACGTCCTTGAAACCTTGTTGCTGAAGCTCTTGGGACGAGAATAAGGAATCCCTTGTCTACCCACGTCCAGGCTTAATGAATATAATTTCCTTAAGCCATCAAGAGGACTATATGAGGTCGACATCTTCACCCACAATGCCGACAGCTGTTGTTTCCGATATTTTCACAGCCATATCCACAATCAGAACGTCTGCACCACTTTCTGCTCGAAGGGCCCTGATCCCATTATCCTCAAGCTTCACTTTGAGCATGTTGATGAACCTACTTCGGTGAAATGGATGTCAGCAGACTTCCTAAGTCTATAGGGCCTCTGCTGTTCTGCTACTTTTGTGCTCGAGGTTGATGAGGAATAGCAGTCAAAGACTACAGTACATCTATTTCCGTGGTAGTTCTTCTTGATAAAATGGATGTAGCTCTCACAGATTGTCGATATCTTGGCACCTCTTTGCGAAATCACTTTATGGAGGAGGAGTCCTCCGTCAAATACGATGTGTAGCTGTGCGACATGTACATTTTTGGTCGTAGTGTTGAATAGTTTGTACAGCACTGACTTAGTCGATTTTCTCATTCCACTCTCACTGAAGAGGTCTAGTAAATGCCTGTTCAAAACAAAGGAACCAATATTCACCACAAGAATTATTTCTTGAGAGATTGTTGCATAACATCCAATTGCACGATATCTCATTTCGGGCATACTTCCTAATGATTTTCATTATTATTTATAATTTATATTATTCATTATTGAGAAGAATTCAAAGCTTCTAAACCTATGGGCAGCACTTACTTTTTCGGTGGATCGTTGGAGAGTTATCAGGTCAAGAAGAGCAGAAACGTGAAGAAATAAAATTATTTTTCAAAATTACACTTTCAAGATTGGATATCTCTAAAACTATACAATATATCAAAAAATTCAACTGAACAAAACTTGTTGCAAATTCGATCTGCTTCCATTTTGTATAGAATGGTCATGTCAATAGGACGCATAGTTTTCGAGATACAAGCAAACAACCGGCTCAAGGGCTCCGGGCGGGCACTTTTGATATGTTCACCTTCTTACTAGTCCAAACAAAGTAACGACGTCAAAAATTGTGTTCCAAGACTTTCCCTCTATACCTCTCATTGCTTGAACTACAATCCCTCCGACTTGAAATATGACGAGGGGTAGCTGGAAATATTCACGCAATATGAACACAGTTGTAGAGATGAAATATTCCACTAGTTATCTGTTTGAATTAAAAAATATTAAAGTTCCTTGATGTACTTGCCACTTTTATTTTGACGTTGATCATATTTAATTTGAATCACTCTTTCAGGATTCACAATAAGGTTTGTCATATATCCGACAAAAAAGATATACAGTAAAATTGAATCACTTCATAGACGATGATGAAGAATTCAATCAATCGTCGATCCTTCATCCACTTAGCCAGCAAGCAGAGCAGCTAAATTTTAGCAACATTCAATCTGTTATCTGGTGACATGTACCAGAACTAATTCACTCATATGGATCATTTTCCAAAAAGTTCGTTGAAAATTTGATGTATTTCCAACCAAAATTTGTTTGGTAAATGTCTGGGTATCGCCTTTCTAGGAGATATCAGAAATAACCAGATAATAAAATATGTTAATAGTGGAGTAATTTCGAGATCATATTATGTTGTTTTATTTTTTGCGTAAAAACAGGTCAGACATGATAGATAGGTTTTGTTAATGATGTAAATAAGTAGATGGTGTACTTACTGATGCGCTTTTGTTTCAGAAATTCTTCTCGACCTCCCGAAAGTCCCGTGAACAATGTTTTTTCAGCTGTTTTCGGATAGATGGCGACATTGCACGATTATGACATCGGTCGATTTTTTTAAATTGCCTCAGATTTTTCGAATTAAGAGTAATAATTCCACTGTTACATATGTTCCGCGTACCTAAAATGCCATTTGCCATTTTATTTCCACTCGTCACAGTAGCAATAGCATCATCACCATCTAGCGGAAAAATGTAGAATCAAAGTCTCGGTCGAGTGATTTTTCTCAAGTTTTCAATACGTAAAAATGACCGACTACGCGCACCATCTACTTATTTCCATCATTGTTGTGTTAAGCAAGACATAAGGAATATAAAATCGTTTTTTACGACATTTTTTAGTGGTCTGGAACACTTTGAAAAAAATGTGTTGATTTTTGTACCCATCGTCATATCTTTGAAATTGATGAAGTTGTCGAAGTGCTTTTTTGTGTAGATTAAAGGCAACAGAGTAGAGATTTCAACAGTGCCATTGGATTGTGCAAAACTTGCTATTTTGGTTTTCTAAAAATCAGGAAACAATAGAATTCAAATCATGTGTAAAAACTTCACAAACGATAAGATTTCCACAAAATTCTTAAATACATGTTTCCCTAACACAGTAGCTTCGTCAGGTGATACTGGTACAATGAACTAAACTTACTAAACCAACGTTGGCTTGCTTAACTTTTATATAATATCCTACTTTCCCAATTTGAAGGATTAGTTACCTGTGGACAAGTTCGATAAACCTTCATTTTCGGATTTTTTTTTCATGTTCTGGTTCCTAGGAAAGGGTATATTCTGTAATGTTCAGAAAACATCGTGAGAACCAAAGGAAATATATATATCTACATTAAAATACAGTGTACTGGAATAACATAGGGTTGATAGCTAATAAATATTATTACCTACTAAGAAAACAAATTCAACAGTGGTGAACAAGGTCTAATTGATCGTTAAGTAAAATGTCAAAATTTTTTTAGTTTGTTCATTTCTAATGATCCAAAATGATGAGTTTCATTCCTTTATTTTCTACGTGTAGAATTTCGAAATTCTCATCAAAACTATGGTTTTCTTCTAATAAACTACTCAACACTAATTTCGTCGCACACCAAAATGTCGCCCCTGTTATAATCTGAATAACTTTTTTCAGTTTAAAACAATTTGAATTTGGTTCACATTGTTCGATAGCCCAGTCTTTCAGCTATAATCTTGTACTTCATTGAAACATAAGGGTATTCACATGAAATCTCTACCTGGTGTTTTCCGACACTGTGCAAAATTTCGGAATATTCAAAAGGCTCTCAAATGGTGAAAAATTTTTTTTTCTCAACTTCGACAACAGAGGCATGAAGATGATCTCATTGCCTCGAGATGTTTCGCGAATCAACTTCCCATATCTCTTATTTACAGAGTGATCTCAAAAAATCAACTTTTTGGTTTTGCAGCCATAACTTTTTTCCACGTCAACCGATTTTAGAAATCTTAGGCTCATTTTGAAGATAAAACTTCAAATGAAGAGATCTGAATATCAGAATTGACTCAAGATGGCTATCAGAGATCTAGAGTTTTCTTGAAAGTGACCCAAATCTGGAACGCCCTCCGAATCTCGGTTGGGAGTAGAATTGAATAAAAATCAACTTGTTCTCGGAAAAACAATTCATTCTGGATGTGTCCATATTTTCCTCGCTCTCAGTAGTCAATAATGGTGCGTAAGAAAACACAATTGAAACATGTTCCTGCAAAAACATCAGACCA